CTTTTCTTTTCGATGTCTTTTCTGTGGGCAAGAACGTAGGCAATTATATCGAATTTGGTGCTGAGCAAGTCATTATTGTACGTAATGATGATACTAAAAAGGAAGTTAAGAAACAAATTAAAGGTGGTGGATTAGTAATGACAGTATTTGAAGCTAAGGGCATGGAATTTAGTGATGTACTATTGTACAATTTCTTTACCGATTCTCCAGCTGGACTAAAGGTACTGTGTTATGATTGTATTATAAACATATACAATACTTATTGAACATCTTTTGGATTATCATTTCAGTGGCGAGTAATTGAGGGTATTCGGAACTTCTCTCACGAGAATCACTATATTCTTTGCTCGGAACTCAAGCACCTTTATGTCGCAGTCACGAGGGCGCGGCAGCATATATGGATATTTGATGAAAATGATTGTCCAATCCGAACATACTGGGAGCGTCAAGGATTGGTGAAAGTAGTAGGGAGTAAAGAAGAAATCAGTACTCTACCAACCTTGGCCAAAAAGAGTAGTTCACATGAGTGGAATAAACGAGGGAAAGAATTTTTTGAACAGAAACAGTTTGACCAGGTTCAATAATCTTTGAATGTTCAATTTCAAATAATGAACTGGACTAAGTCAAACGAAAATACCTTCAGGCTATTTTATGCTTTGAAAAAAGCGGAAACGAACCACATCGCAAACTCGCAAATGCATGGCTTCTTAAGCAAGAAACTGAGGATTCAATAAATAGTTCCGATAGGGTCACCGTAAAATCCCTTTTTATTCGCGCCGCTCTTGCCTTCAAAGATTGTTCTAAACCAGTTCAGGCTGCTACATGTTATCGAGTAAAATCTTTTTTTTTTGGTTTGTTTTCGCATTTTATAATTATGAATTCTTGTTAAATTCAACAATAATTCAGAATGCCGAAAAATATAAAGAAGCTGGCGATATATATTGTGAATGGAATATGTACACTGAAGCCGTTATTGCATACAAAGACGGTGGCTGTTTTAAAACCGTGATTGATTTATTACAAAAGTATGTCCACCACATCATCGCTCTATATAGATCTTAAAAAATATCAGTACAATTAAGATTATTGTCTATTAATAATGAAACTCTACTAAATCTGAAACTAACAAAATTATCCGATTGACTGTTAATTAACCAATCTATATCCTGTTATTTCAGCAATATGAAAAGATGAAAGCACAGCGTGGTGATTATGAT